GGTCAGGTCTTCAAAGAGCCTGAGCTGACGCCGCCGCGTCCTCCCGGTCGGTACCTGCCGGAGCCGGGGGTGCCGGAGCCGGGGGTGCCGGTGCTGGCGGTGCCGTGCTGGCGGTGCCGGTGCCGGTTCCGCCCCGCAGCGATCCCAAGCTCTCGGTCTGGGCTCAGAACCCTCCGGCCCCGGTGCCGAGGTTCGTCCCGTGTGATCGCGGTGCCAGGGCGCAGCGGTGCCACCCTTGTGACCGTCCTGGCAGTGTCACCGCTGTGTCCTCCTCTGGTCCGGTGGCACCTTAGCCGCGGCTCCGGGGTGTCCCTGCCTCCCCCGACGTGCGTCAGCAGGGCTCCCACCGCGCTCCGGGCGCCAGATGTGCCCGTGCCAGATGTGCCTGTGCCAGATGCGCCTGTGCCAGATGCGCCTGTGCCAGATGCGCTCTCGGCGGAAAAATGTGCGTGCCGGGGCCGGGGCCGGGCCGGTGCCGCCCGCATTCCGCGGCGGCCGCGCTGGCTCCGACCCAGCGGGCACCGGCCCGGCCGCGGCTGCCGCTCCCCGAAGGGCCCCGCGCCCACGGGTGTCACGCGTGGGTGTCGGGGTGGGTGTCGCGGGTGGGCGGCGGCCGGCGGGGCTCTGCACGGCGCGCGGTTGGACCGTGAGTCACGGCAGGACGGGGCCGCGGCCCCGCGTCCTTTGGACTCCGCGCTGGGAACGGGCAGGACGGGGGTGCAGACGTGGAGGTTGGGGTGCAGACATTGATATTGGGGTGCATACATGGATATTGGGGTGCAGACATGGATGTTGGGGTGCAGTCATGGAGGTTGTGGTGCAGATATGGATGTTGTGGCACAGACATGGGTTTTGGGGTACAGACCTGAATATTGTGGCACAGACATGGGTTTTGGGGTACAGACATGGATATTGGGGTGCAGTCATGGATTTTGGAGTGCAGACATGGCTGTTGTGATACAGACATGGGTTTTGGGGTGCAGACATGGATATGGGGGTGCAGTCATGGATGTTGGGGTGCAGACATGGCTGTTGTGGCACAGACATGGATGTTGGGGCGCAGTCATGGATATTGGGGTGCAGTCATGGATGTTGGGGTGCAGACATGGATATTGGGGTGCAGACATGGATGTTGTGGCACAGACATGGGTTTTGGGGCACAGGAGGTGGGCCTTGTGCCGCTGCCGTGTGTGTTGGGGTGCAGACCTGGGCACTGGGGTGTTGGCTGTGCCAGGCTGGCAGCGCCCAGGGCGCCCGCAGCTGCACTTTCCCCAGCAGCTGCCACCACCCTGCCGTGGGTGACGTGGGTGACGCTGGTGACGTTGGTGACACGGGTGCTGCGGTGGGCAGGACTGGCAGCTCCGTGTCACCCCGAGGGGATTCCCAGCCCGTGCCAGCCACCCTGGGGGTCCCCGGCGAGGGACATCCCGGGGGGATGCAGCACCCAGTGGGGCACAAGCCCTGAACTCACCCTGTTGTCCCCTCAGCTGACGTTGTCACCCTCTGGGGGAGGGCGGTGGGAGATGAATCCCTGGGGAGGGGGCTTCCCACACTGCTGGCAATGCCCCCGCCCGGTGTGAGAGCCCGTGGGGGCTGTGGGGCACAGGGCAGGCTGTGGGGGGCTGCTCTGGGGTGCCTGTCAGGAGAGGAGCTGCTGGTGGGGCTGGTGTGTGCATGGGGGGCACCCGGGGGAGTCTGTGGGGCTCAGTCCCCCATCCTGGGGATCCCTGAACCCCTCAAGAGGAGCCCCAGGGATCTGAGCCCCTCAAACGTGGGACCTGGGTATGGTGACCCGGGGGCTTGAGCTCCACCTTGAGACCCGGGTGGGGGGAGCAGGGGTCCTACAGCTCCAGGGCGTGTACTGGGGGTTCTGGTACTGGGGGTTCTGGGGCGGTCCCTGGGCTGTGGGACCGGGTGGTGCCAAAACCCCCACAGGGAGTGACGGTCCCATCTGGGGTGTGGGGTGTGGAGAGCCCCTGACCATGGGGCCAGAGGGGTTCTGGGGACCCTCTGTGAGGGGCAAGGAGGGTTTTCACCTGGAAACCTGGGGGACCTGAGCTTCCGGAGCTTGGGAACCTGGTGGTGCTGAGGTGTGGTGGCTGGGGGTCCAACAGCCCCGGGCTGTGGGTCCCACCCCCCCAGACTTGTGGTCCTGAGGGTTCCAAAGCCCCGAGGTGTGGGTCAGGGGGTCTGGCCGCCCTGGGTGAGGGGTGAAGGGTTTCTGAGCGCCCCGATCTTCAGGAGTGAGGGTCCCACCCCCCGCGCTTGCAGAGCCGGGGGTCGCGGGCCCCGTCTGTGGGGCCGGGGGTGCCGGTTCCCCGAGGAGCGCCCCGTGGCTGCTCCACGGGTCCGTGTCCCACCCCGCCTGCAGGCGCAGCGAGGCAAGGGTTAAACTCAGGAGTTTCCTGTGGGCAGGGTCGGGGCGTGGGGCGTGGGGAGAGAGCCCCGTCTCCTCCCCGGGCCGCCCCACTCGCGGCAGGACCGGGCAGGGAGAGCAGCAGCGTCGGGGCTCAGCATGTCCCGGCCGCGGCGCAGCTCCGAGGAGGCTCCGGCCGCGGCTGCCCGCTCGGGCTCCGAGGACAACCTGTACCTGGCCGTGCTGCGGGCGGTCGAGGGCCGCAAAGGTACCGGGCGAGGGGCTGGGGGGCCGCCCACCATCGCATCCCCACCTGGGGCGGTGCCCCACCCCGGGCAGGCTGCGGGGCAGAACCCCCTCAACACCGGGCTGGGGTCCCTGGGGGCCACCCCCACACCGGGCTGGGGTCCCTGGGGGACACCCCCACCCCGAGCCGTGTCCCCGGGGCTGTGGGGCCACCCCCAGGGCAGAGCGGTGTCCCCGGGCTGTGGGGCCACCCCCACGCCGGGGCGGTGTCCCCAGGTCGGTGTCCCCAGGGCGGGCTGTGGGGCAGACCCCCGCGCTGGGGCGGTGTCCGCAGACCCCTCGCCGCCGCCCAGCTCCATCCCCGGTGCCCTGGGTCTCTTCCTGCCACGCCCTGCCCGGCCCGGCCCGGCTCGGCCCGGCCCGGCTCTCCCTGTGCCGCACCGCGGGGTGGGCGCCGCTCTGGGCACCCTTGGGTGTCAGTGTTGTGGGCGCGGGTGCCGTGGTGTCGGTGCCCCCCTCTCGGCGCGCACTGCGCCCCACGTTTCCTTCCCTCCTTCCTTCCTTCCCTCCTTCCTTCCTTCCTTCCTCTCGCACCGCGGCCGCTGCTGGCCGGGCACGCCCTGGCTGTGCCGTGAGCGCCCGCGGGGCGCTTCGGGCCGAGCAGCACCCCGGGGTGCTCCGCCGGCGGGGAGCCTGGGCTGCGGGTGCCGCGTGGGCAGATCCCGGCACGCTCCGGCGGGGCAAGACCCGGCACGCAGCGCCCGGCTCGCCGCGGCGCGGGCAGGGCGGCGGCGCGGCTCGGGGGCACCGGGGGCATCGCCCCGTGTGGGGAGGGGTCACTGCTGGCCTCCGACCCCTCTTGGGCACCGCGCTGGGTGTGGCAGGGGTGGTGGCACTGGGGACGCAGGGGGACAGGAGAGCGGGTGCTGGATGTGGGGCGCTGGAGGTTAGCGGGGTGCTGGGGGTTTAGCGGGGTGCTGGGGGGTATGGCAGTGTGCTGGATGTGGGCACAGGATGCTGTGGGGTTTAGCGGGGCACTGGGGGTTTAGCGGGGTGCTGGAGGGGTTAGCGGGGTGAAGTGGGGTATAGCGGGGTGCTGGGAGGTTAGCGGGGTGCTGGGGATTAGCGGGGTGCTGTGGGGGTTAGCGGGGTGCTGTGGGTTTAGTGGGGTGCTGGATGTGGGCACGGGCTGCTGTGGGGTTAGTGGGCTGCTGTGGGGTTAGTGGGGTGCTGTGGGGTTTAGTGGGGTGCTGGGTGGGTTTAGTGGGGCGCTGTGGGGTTAGAGAGGTGCTGTGGGGATTAGCGGGTACTGTGGGGGTTAGCGGGGTGCTGGGGGGGTTAGTGGGTGCTGGGGGAGATTAGCGGGGTGCTTGGGGTTAGTGGGGTGCTGTGGGGTTTAGCAGGGTGCTGGGGGAGTTATCTGGGTGCTGTGGGGTTTAGCGGGGTGCTGGGGGGGTTAGTGGCGTGCTGGATGTGGGCACAGGGTGCTGTGGGGTTTAGCAGGGTGCTGGGAGACTTAGCTGGGTGCTGTGGGGTTTAGCGGGGTGCTTGGGGTTAGCGGGGTGCTGTAGGGTTAGTGGGGTGCTGGGGGGCTTTAGTGGGTGCTGGGGGGTTAGGAGGTCACTGGGTGGTAGCGGGTGCTGGGGGATGGGTCCAGTGCCGTCCCGGGTTCCCATCCCAGTGCGTCACCATTCCCGTGGCATCCCCTAATGACAGGGCAGCGGGCAGGGAGCGCCGTGACTCACTGCAGCCCTGCTTGGCCCTGTGCCCATGCAGAAGGGTGTCCTGGGGGTGTCCTGGGGTGTCCCAGGGCTCTGGCAGTGCAGGTGGTGCGTGGGCTCATCTCGATCACACCGAGGCCCTGCCTGTGGGCTGGGACTGTGCCAGGGTGGTGCCAGGACAAGCACCCCACGGCCTCGTCTCCGTGCCTTGCCCAAACCTCTCACTCCATGCCCACTGAGCCCAGGGCAGGGCTGGGGCTCCTCTCTGCAGTGCCAGAGGGCTCGGGGTTGGGTGGGCACCTCCTGCTGCCAGCAGTCACAGGGACACGGGGTGTTGTGAGCTGAAAGGAGTTCCACAGGGATCACCAAGTCCAACTTGCCCGCACTGGGGTTAACTGGGGTTGAACCTGCACCCTTGGCGTTGTCAGCACCCCGCTCTGGCCAGCTGATCTAATCTCAGCGCTGGTGGGTGCTGGCATGGTGCTGGCACGCTGGGGCCGATCCCCGTTAGCTGTTTCCTCTCCCCACACCCCCGTGACTCACCGTGGTTCCCCAGAGCGGTTGGCTCATCATTTCCTGCGCCAGCCGTGCCCCGCGGTGCCACCGGCGGGGCCTGGTTTTGTGCAGTGCCAGGACCCTGGTAACACTGGCTCACCTGTGCCTCTCCTCTCTTGCAGATGAGCGAGATCGTGTCCAGAAGAAAACCTTCACCAAATGGGTCAACAAGCACCTTATCAAGGTATGGGCACTGCCAGTCCAGCGGGCACCACTGCCCCAGCAGTCCCCTGGCCCAAATCGCCCCCAGCCGCAGCCCCGTGTGCTGCTAGAGCCAAGGACGTGGCCGGGGAGGGTCCCTGGTGCCAGTGCTCCTGTGCCACACCTCTGGCCAGGGCCTCTCAGCTGCCTCCACGGCAGGTCCAGGTGGGATCTGCCCTCCTGCTGCCCTCCCAGGAGGGAACAGTGCCCTTGGCTCCTGGGGATGTGTCCTGCGCCCTCAGTCCTGCCCCACCCCTGCCATTCCCCATTCCCTGCCACGAGCAGAGCCCCACCTTGGCTCCTGGCACGCACTGGGACATGGCCCAGCCCCCCAGAAAGTGCCTCCACGTGTCCCTGACCCCGCAGTGCCATCGTGGTGCCACCACGCTCTGCCCATGCTGGGTCCCCTCTCAGCTCTCTCCTAACTGCTCTCTTCTCTCTGCCCTGCGCAGCACTGGCGACCAGAGGTAGGTCCTTGCTCTCTCTTCCTCTCTGCCCCACTGTGCTCTTCCTCTTTGCACACCCTCCTTTCCCCTGGGGCTGCCGCTGTGGGTCTGAGCCCTTCGTGGTGGGCGGGGGGTGTGACCCCTTCACGGTGGGTCTCTGCACGCCAGAGTGATGCCAGAGTGATGCCAGAGTGATGCCGGCTCCATCCTGGCCCGGGGGGAGCTGCTGCGTGTGTTTGGGGGCATCGTGGCACTTGGGGGGGAACACCAGCTGCACCTGGGGCTGTGTGTGAGCACCTGCTGCACTGGGGGGGTCACCGGGCACCCACCCGGGGGTTGGCTGGCAGGGGTGGGGGTGCTCAGCTGCCCCCCTGGCAGGGGTGGGGGTGCTCAGCTGCCCCCCTGGCAGGGTGGAGGGTGCTCAGCTGCCCCCCTGGCAGGGTGGGGGGTGCTCAGCTGCCCCCCTGGCAGGGTGGGGGGTGCTCAGCTGCCCCCCTGGCAGGGGTGGGGGTGCTCAGCTGCCCCCCTTACGCCGTCGCTGTCCCCACAGGCGCAGCGCCATGTCAACGACCTGTACGAGGACCTGCGGGACGGGCACAACCTCATCTCGCTGCTGGAGGTGCTGTCGGGTGACACGCTGGTAGGTGCCACTCCGCCCTGCCCGCGCTGTCCCCCCAGTCCCCGCCACGCGCCGGCACCCCTCCGCCGGCCGTCCTCATCCTCATCCTCACCCTCGCTGCCTGCCTCTGTTCCCTCTCTTCCTGCTTGGCCGTCGGTCTGTCCCGGTGAGCCCGGAGTGCCCGCGCCCCCCGCCCCCTGCCTCTAACCTCTCTTTGCTTTGGTGCCCTCTCTGCTTCCTGGCGCCGGCCCACCGCCGCCTTTGCCTCCTCCTTCTCCTTCCTCTCTCTGCTCCTCTCCGCTCGGCTCGGCTCGGCTCGGCCGGGGCAGCCCCGGGAGCGCGACGTCCTCCGGACCTTGCGGTTGGTGAGTGGTTCTGCCGTCGGCTCCGGGCACGGCCGCCCGCGGCACCGGTGCCGTGACAGGGCACGGAGCGGTGCCCAGCATGTCCCAGGACTGTCTGCATGTGTGTGCCATGCCTGTCCCTGTGCTCTGCAGCATGCTCTGCCTGTCCCGGTGCCCCCTGATGCCCTGAGCTGTGCGGGTGGGTTTCCCTGGGCCAGAACTCGGTGGCAGCAGCAGGACAGAAGTCATCCTGCAGCAGCAGGACAGAAGTCATCCTGCAGCAGCAGCATCCCTGGGAGTGGTCCCGCCATGCTGGGTGTCAGGCTGGAGCTGCACTCCGGCTCCTGGCACCGCAGCAGGATGTGCTTCCGGCTCCATGGGGTGGCACATGGCCACCAACCCCCTGGGTCTCACCCTAGGGCTGGCCCCGAGCAGCTGCTGGTCCATGTTGGCCCCTTTCTGCGGGACAGGAGTGACCCTGCTCCGCTGCCGAGTGGCACAAGGGCGTCCATGGAGCCCCCAGCTCTCCCAGCAGCCAAAGCTGGGCTTAGCTGGTGGAACACCGTGGGGCAGGAATGTGGGGGCGGTCTGTTTGGGCAGGACCCAGGGGACCCCAGCTGAGACCCACAAGTCTGGGGGGTCTCACCCAGCTTGGCAGTTCCCGGTCCTGCTGAGGGGACCCTGGAGCGTGCCGGGGAGCTGCATGGTGCGGCACCACGGCGGTGCACACACAGGCAGTGCCGTTGGCACCGAGGCCAGTCCTGCCTGGGCAGTGCCACTCGGGCACTCGGCTCCCCCCGGGACGGCTCCGATGGTCCCGGAGCTGCCGGGCGTGGCGTGGGAACAGCCTGTTGCCGCCGGGTTGGCGGGGGGAGCATGGGGAGCGTCCCCACCCCTGCAGGGGCAAAGTGCGAGGGCGGGTGCCATCGGCATGTGCGGCACCGGGAGGGGCCGGATGGCGCCGGGGTGGGGGCGGCCGGGACGGCAGCACGGTGTGGTGGCATCACGGGGGGGCTGTGGTGGCAGGACACAGCAGGGCTCTGTCCAGCATGGCCGCACTCACCGCCCCCTCCTCTCCCCCAGCCCCGGGAGAAGGGCCGGATGCGCTTCCACAAGCTGCAGAATGTCCAGATTGCCCTCAACTACCTGAAGCATCGGCAGGTGAGGATGGGGAGGGACCCCTGGGATGGCCACAACCCCCGGGGCTGTGCTGGGCTGCCCCGTCCCTGAGCCGCGTGTGTCCCCTGCTGCAGGTGAAGCTGGTGAACATCCGGAACGATGACATCGCCGACGGCAACCCCAAACTGACGCTGGGGCTCATCTGGACGATCATCCTCCACTTCCAGGTGAGCCCGGCGGGGTGGGGAGGGGACAGGGGGACCGAGGGGCCAGGATTCCGTGGGGCTGGGGCCTCCCTGGGCTGGTCTGGTCCCCGGTGGGGCAGGAGCGGTGTCACCGGCAGCTGCCGTGCAGCGAGTGTCACCGTGGCAGTGGCCGTGCCAGTTTCCAGAGTAACAGCTGTGTCCTGGCAGATCTCAGACATCCAGGTGACGGGGCAGTCGGAGGACATGACAGCCAAGGAGAAGCTGCTGCTGTGGTCACAGCGGATGGTGGAGGACTACCAGGGCCTCCGCTGTGACAACTTCACCACCAGCTGGCGGGACGGGCGCCTCTTCAACGCCATCATCCACCGGCACAGGTGGGTGCCGTGGTGGTGCCATGTGATCCGTGGGCAGGCGTGTGCTCACCAGGGTGGCCGTGCTGACCCCCTGCTCATGGGGCAGCCGTGCCTGTGCTCATGGGGCAGCTGTGCTGATCCTGTGCTTGTGGGGCGGCTGTGCCTGTGCTCATGGGGTGGCTCTGCCAGTCCTGTGCTCGTGGGGCAGCTGTGCTGATCCCGTGTTCATGGGGCAGCCGTGCTGATCCTGTGCTTGTGGGGCAGCCATGCCAATTCTGTGCCCATGGGGCAGCCATGCTGATCCTGCTCGGGGTGATGTGAGCACGTGCTCCTGACGAGTCCCGGCCCATCAGCCTGTGCCGGCTGTGCCGTGCCCGCTGTTGGCGTGCCGGGGCGGTGGCAGGCAGGTCCCCACGGGTCCTGCTGGGACCGCTGCGTGCTTTTGGGGAGAGCAAATATGTGCAGGGCTGTGCCAGATGGGGGGAGGCATCGGCACTGTGCCGTGTCACAGCTGTGCCGTGCTCCGCACCACGGCACCGCCACACTGAGCTTGGGCCCACCATGGAGCCCCAAGGGGGGCCCGAGGTGTCAGCCCCACAGGGAACTGGGGTGTCAGCCCCACACGGGACTGGGGTGTCAACCCCACATGGAACTGGGGTGTCAGCCCCACACAGGATTGGGGTGTCAGCCCTACATGAGATTGGGGTGTCAGCCCCACATGGGATTGGGGTGTCAGCCGTACATGAGATTGGGGTGTCAGCCCCACATGGGATTGGGGTGTCAGCCCTACAGAGGATTGGGGTGTCAGCCCTACAGGGAACTGGGGTGTCAGCCCCACACAGGATTGGGGTGTCAGCCCCACATGGAACTGGGGTGTCAGCCCCACATGGGACTGGGGTGTCAGCCCCATGCAGGGTTGGGGTGCCCAATTCACAGGACATGGGGGCTGTGACTGTTGGGGTTCCCACTGGGGACTGTGTGTGTCCCCAGCCCCTCCTGTCCCTGTGCTGGCTGTGGGGCATGGAGTTTCCCCTGGTGTGGGGTGGCCTGGCAGGAGCACAGGCAGAGGAGGCAGGCCCTAGAAAGGGGGAACCTGCCCTCCTCGAGATTTTGGGGTCCCCACAGCCCCACTGACCCGTGCTGCCCCCCACCCACAGGCCAATGCTGATCGACATGGGCCGGGTGTACCGCCAGAGCAACCTGGAGAACCTGGACCAGGCCTTCACCGTGGCCGAGCGCGAGCTGGGGGTGACGCGGCTGCTGGACCCCGAAGGTACGGGCTGGGGTGAACTGGGGGGGTCCCCATCCCTCCCCACCACGGGGCGCCCCGCCTGACCCCCTCCCTCCCCGCAGACGTGGACGTGGCGCAGCCGGACGAGAAGTCCATCATCACCTACGTGTCCTCGCTGTACGACGCCATGCCGCGCGTGCCCGAGGTGCAGGACGGCGTCAAGGCCAACGTGAGTTGGGGCGCCGGGGCTCGCCGCGGCCGCCGCCCCCCTGCCGCGCCACCCCCAGCCCCACACGTGTCCCCCTCGCCAGGAGCTGCAGCTGCGCTGGCAGGAGTACTACGAGGTGGTGACGGGGCTGCTGCAGTGGAGCCGGCAGCACTCGGCGCTCTTCGAGGAGCGTCGCCTCCCTGCCAGCTACGAGGAGATCGAGGTGAGGCCACGGGCGCAGGCGTGGCGCTGGGGACAGGAGCAGTGCTGCTGGCCTGGCATGGCCTCGGGGAAGGGCACAAAGACAGGGACAGGGACGGTGCTGCCACAGGGGTGACCGAGCCCCGGAGCCTCTGGTAGCTGGGGCGGTGTGTGGCAGAATTCTGGCTGGCCTGTGGCCCTGCTGTGGGTGGCTCATGCCCGGGGAGGGGTGCCAGGAGGCCGGCAGCCCCACCATGAGTGGCTCATGTCCCGTGTGGCAGCACACGGCCAGCTGAGCCGTGCCATGCTGGGTCACCGTGAGGCTTGGGCGTGGCAGGGGCACGGAGCCCCCTCCAGTGCCAGTCTGGGGGTCTGCAGGGTTTGGGGGCTCAGAGCCATGAGGGGGGGGCTCCTCTGACTCACCCTCCCCGGCTGTGCCGTGAGTCACCGCTGGCAAAGCCCAGCACGGCCACTTCCTTCCCGCCGGCTCTGCACACATGGAAAAATTGCAGCCTGGGCAGGGCGGATGCCTGGGGAGGGGGCGGCAGCGGCTGGGGGTCCCCGCTCAGCTGTGCCCCCCCTGCCCCCCCGGCAGATCCTCTGGCGCCAGTTCCTCAAGTTCAAGGAGACGGAGCTGCCGGCTCGGGAGGCCGACAAGAACCGCTCCAAAGCCATCTTCCAGGCGCTGGAGGTACCGGCCAGGGGCTGGGGCAGGGCCTGACAGGGAGTCCTGTGTCGGTCCTGGGTGCTTGGGGTCCAAAAGGGTGGGGGGCCTGAGGGGCAGACCCTGGGGATATCGGATCCTGAGGGGTGGGGGTTCCAGTAGCCAGGGGTCTCGAGAGATGGGGATGTGTCCCAAGGGGATGATGGTCCTGTAGGGCTGGGGGGCTCTGGGTGGGTCCCGAGGGGATGATGGTTCTCGGGGCTGTGGGTCCCAGGGTGTCAGGGCTCTTGGGGGATATGGGGTGGGTCCCAAGGGGATGGTGGTCCCAGCGTGCCGGGGGTCCCGCGGCAGTGCCCGGCACGCCCCTTTGGGCAGCGTGTGACATTTGGGGCGTGCAGGGCGCGGTGCAGTCGGGGCAGCTGAAGGTGCCCCCCGGGTACCACCCGCTGGACGTGGAGAAGGAGTGGGGGCGGCTGCACGTCGCTGTGCTGGAGCGGGAGAAGCTGCTGCGGGCAGAGTTCGAGAGGCGAGTTCGGGGGGGCCGGGGGGCCGGGCAGGGCCGCGCTGGCATCCACACCCCCCTGCCGCTGCCAAACCGCGGGGCTGGGCCGGGGTGGGGGGGAGGGGGATTGAATGGAATGGGATGGGGGGGTTTGGAGTTGAGGTTGGACGTGGGATGGGAAAAGCCAAGATGGGGATGGGGGGATTGGGAGAGGGATGGGGAGCAGGACAGGGAGCAGGATGCAGCACGGGACAGGACCCCCGCCGTGCACGGCCAGGACAGCTGCCCCTGGGCAGGACCGGGTCCTGACCGCGTCCCCCCGTGTCCCCGCAGGCTGGAGCGGCTGCAGCGTGTGGTCACCAAGCTGCAGATGGAGTCAGGGCTCTGCGAGGAGCAGCTGAACCAGGCGGATGCTCTGCTGCAGGCAGTGAGTGCCGGAGGCACCGGGGCGGGGGGACCAGCCCTGGCCATGCCCCTGCCCTCCCTGTCCCTCCCTCGCCCTCCCTGTCCCTCCCCCGCCCTCACTGCCCCTCCCCGCAGGACGTGCGGCTGCTGGCGGCCGGCAAGGCACCGCAGAAGGCGGCGGAGGTGGAGAGGGACCTGGACAAGGCGGATGCCATGATCCGGCTGCTCTTCAACGACGTGCAGACCCTCAAGGACGGGCGGCACCCCCAGGGCGAGCAGATGTACCGTCGGTACGGGCACTGCGGGGGTCCCCACGGCTTGTCCCCACGGTCCTGTGTCCCCAGAGCCCTCCATGCCCTCCTTGTCCTTTCTGCCCCTCAAAGCCCTTCGTGTCTCCTGTGTCCCCTGTGTCCCCCGTGACCCCATGCTCTGCATGTCCCCCATGCTCCCTGCACGCCCAGCCACTTCTCTGCCCCCCAAAACCCTGCAAAGCTTCCTGTGATCCCCATGGCCCTCATGACCCCTGTACCCCTCAAAGCCCCCTTTACTCTCTGCGGCCCTTGCAGCACCAAAAGCCCCCTGTGACCTCAAAGCCTTCTGTGTCTCC